AAATTCGTCCAACCAAACCAGGCCAACAAGTTTTGTAGCTGTGGTAGCTCCATATAGTATAGCAGATCCTTTATGTTGTTACTGAAGTTTGCAGTATGCAAAGATGAGTGATGCTTCTTTTGCTCAATCACTAAGATCATAATTGTATTGCGAGTTGGGAAGCACTGATAAATGAAGATTAACAATTGGGCATATTATGAATTATTCAGATTAATATGTTTTCATCTAGCAATGCCCCTGTTTAATATTAAGACCAAGTTATAATAACTGCGTTCCTTTCCCTCATCTATGCATTTTCCTTGTACTTGCAGCTTGATTTTCAAAGAGCTCCATAAAATCCTCAAATTTTCAATTTGATTATTTTTTTTTTCAAAAGGGCCCAAATTTTTCCTTAACTGGGAGTACCGATGAACCTCTTGTACTCTTAGGGGTAGAGATCTAGGAAGCACGGAAACGCCGTTGACCTTCAAGTTTCCGTTTCGGAAACGTTTCGGTGTGGAAACGCCTGGAAACAGGAGGGAAAGGCCAGAAAACGTATCTGACGGGTTGGGCTATTGGGCCGGGTTCCAGAAACGTTTCTGATGCGTTTTAAATCTGACGCCTCACGTTTCTGCTTTTAAAAGAAACCCCTCCTTTAATCTGCCGCACATAAGCTATTGACTAATCGGGCTGAAATTGAAACGTATACCTGGCACCTGAGAATCGGAAAACCGCGAGAGCTTAGCAATTTCCCACTCAGTAACGATGATCGACGGCAATTTGGCAAGAAGGCAGTCCGACTGGGAGTCTGGGTCATTCAGCAAACGGCCAGACACGAGGGAAGATACCTGTAGTCTGGTATCCGCACTTTAGCAGTCTACTCTCCGGTTCAGATTTAATAGCAATCGTCGACTCCTTATTTTTTATGGCTGTATATGGATTATAACAAAGGACAACTGTTTGGTTTGTTTATTTCTTATTTTTGTGGACCTCATTTAATAGATATTTGTTTATATTAGTAAAATTTTAATTTTTATTACGATGTTTCCGCGCCGTACCCGTATCTTGATATTTTGAGATAGGAGTTTCCCTTCCCCGCTTCCGTTTCCGTCCCGGTGCTACTTAGGTAGAGATATGGTCTGTGTACATCGCATCCTCCTACACTATTAAATGGTATAATTGGTTTGGTTCAGTAGCTTGATTATTGTTTCATTTATAATTTGCAGGGGAGGGGATTACAGTCACAAGTTTAAGAACCTCATGGGAGAAATTGCGAAGTCCCAAACATTATGGGACACATATTGTTCCATCAAGAATGAGTGACCTTTTTGTCTATTGCCTGAGAAATGCATATAAACTCTTTCCCTATACAAATGAAAAGGCTGATGGTGATGGAGTTGATCATATGATGGATTTGAGCAAATGCCCATGATTATGCTGGTCTTCGTGAACGTGTGAATGTGATGGAGAAAGTTTAGCAGCATTGGAGGACATGAGGAACATACATTTCATATATAGTATATTTTGTGTAAATGTGGCTGGTTGTACTTCTACCTTTTTTGACTTTACCAGCTTCTTTTTTGTGAATCCTCTATCAATCTTGAGATTTTTTGTGGTTTTTTCACCCTCCTACACATGTGGACTCGAAGCCATTTGGGCATTTTGTAATAGGCAGGCAGCATGGGTGATTCACTGTGTGCATTTACGATGCTTACATTTCTCCACTTTGAATAGATCTTTAAGTTTGTCACTGTTTGTTTGGATGAGTTTTAATTAAGTGGTTTCAGGTGAAATTGCTATTTTTAAAGCAGGTGAGCTAAATGTTGCTATTTTGCAAGTAGCGGTGTAAAATGTTGGACTTTCTATTTATTGCAGTATATCCCATAATAATATGTCATCACATATTAATATATGTAGTATATTTACGTCTGAGTCGAGCTTTATAAAATATAGAAATTGCTCTCGATAGAACTAAAGTTTTTACCTAAGAAACACAAATATGACTACTACTTTTTTATTCCCTCCAGGTAGGACTAAACATTGATAATATAAAAAATTAATAAAATATTATAAAAAAAATTCAAAAAATAATATATCTGGTTTCTTTTTAAATTAATAAAAAATTGTAAAAGCCCATAAAAAATACAAAAAATATGGATAGTTTTCCCAGTCTTCCAACATCACCACTTTTGATCGGTGAAAATTTTGTCATTTTTTTGTAAAAACTGTTTTTTTTCACTGAAAATGTCAAGAAAATGACATTATTACTTTTCATAATGCCAAAATTTTCATACAATCTGTCATTATTATGACATTATTAAAAAAGTTGAAAGATTTTCGATCGGTGATGGGAGGTGGTGGGGCAAAGGTGGTGGTGTTTTTTACCTATTTTATTTTAATTTTATTTTTTTCAAAAATTAAATTTTTATTTTATAAATATTTTATAAAAGCTATAACGTTATATTTGTTGAACAACTTAAATAGTCCTACCTTAGTGGGAATTTAAAAGATCCGTGTAGTTCTATTTGTGCTCTTAGGTCACACTTTCTTTGTCTTATTTAGGTAATTCACTCTATAAAATAAGCATATATGTAGTATTTGTTTGTAATAGAACATATTTGAAAACAAATGATTGATATCACAAAAATTTAATACTTATATAAATTTTATACATTATAACATAACAATACTGAACTAATTGAAACAATTAATTAAGTATAGCTTGCCGAACAATTTTAGATACAAAAGTATCAATTAGTTGGGCATAATCAAGTTCTTCAGTAGATTCCTTCAATTCTCAATTTATCGATAGCATAGTTAATTTATTTAATCTCTTTTAGACATAAATGATTAATATGGAGTAGTAAAGATGTGTTTATAAGCTTCAATTTTGAGAAACATCTTTCTACACTTGCTAGCTACTTTCACGGGTATAGTCACCAAGATTTTATATGCGATGCACATATTTTCTATTTTTGTACAAATAAAAAGCATATAATTTGATTAATTGTGAATTGAAAATTACACAATTTTTAATCTTGATAACCTTAAATGAAAAAAGATTTCAATTCTCAAATATAAAAATTTCACCAAGGTACCTTGCTTGATTACTTCGTAAAACAAGCAAGAATCAACTTGCTTTTAATTTTTAAATATCGTTTATTTATGAAGATACTTTAAATCAACTAATAATATAAGAGCTAGTCAATAGTTATAGCAATTAGAAAATAGTAATTATTAAGTTAGTTCATTGGGTCATTCACAAATCTGTTTTGTTACTTGTGTAACAGACGTTTAAAGCCAAACAACCAGTGTAGTCCTATTTTTTAATACATATAATATAAAAGTATTTAATTTTTTGGATCCTTGATTTTTCATTTTTTGGGGGCATAAAGGATGGTTTGCAAGCTTAGTATTTGTGTATTTTTGATTTGATAATTATGCGCTCCTCGCTGTCCTAGACTCCTAGAAATCAGTTATCCGGATTTTTTTTATTCAATGTGCATCATCATCATTCAGGGGATCGGATGTACGTACATAGTCTTACTCATTTACTAAAGCACATAAAGAGTATTTCTGGATGACTCATGAAAATCGTTTCGAAAAGTTCATGAATTGACTATTACTTCATATCATATTGAATACGGGTATTAGCGCTTAGTAGGAGTAAAATAAGCCCAAAATTCAACAATAGGAGTACAATTCTTTATTCCCAAAATAAGACTAATATATGTCTCTTCTTCCCATTCTACCCCCTTCCTATCATTTCCAATAGATTTATTTTATTAATAAGAAAATCATAGTTTTATTTATAATAAAAATATAAAAAATAATAAAATATTTATAAACTAATAATGAAAACGTGAAAAAAATAAAAATAAAAAATTAAAAATAATAAAAAAGATTATTTAATTTTTTAAAAAAGTCCAAAAAATAAAATAAAATACCTAAAAAATATTTAAAAAATATGTAGGTCACTTCCAACGCGTCCTCTACCTCCCAACACCACTGACTACGGTCGTCGGCAAAAAATGCCACATTTCTCTGAAAATGCCATAAAGATGACATTTTTACTTTTGAAAATATCCAGCTTTCTCTTGCTTTCTCTTCAAAGTTGCCATCATGATGACATTTTTTCCCCAACTTGACAATCTTTTCCGGCGACCGGAGGTGGCGGTGCTTGAAGGTGGTGGTTGGAGTCTATATATTTTTTAATTATTTTTTACGATTTTTTTTTTATTTTGATTTTTTTATATTTTATAACGATTGTTTAAAAATCCTATTATCAAGGACAAAAGAAAGGATATAATAGGAAAACTTTAAACTCCCTATTGAATATATTATCTTAAATATTATTGAGATAAAATATATAGATAAAAATTGAACGGGAATCAACTAAAATACTAGTGTGTCACTAGTGACATTTTACCGGACCTTCATTTTAATCATGTATTCCTTATCATTTGTTTAAAATAATCTTTTCCTGGATTCTTGATACAAGTGGTTGATCCAAAAATATTTGGTCACAGTGCATGTGCTCATCTGCAACCATTCAACGAATACTTTATTTCAATAACGTTTCATGTTTTATTGTCCGAGAGAAAGGTACAAACAAACCAAATTTTATTAAATATGGAGTACCTCTGCCTTTCATGGAAAACTACAACGTCAAATTCCCTTCAAATTAATCACATTCCACTTCAGTTTATTTTAAACACTCCCTCCGTCTCATTGGAATTTACCGAGTTTTCTTTTTTGATTTCCAAAAAACTTTGTCACTTTCCAATTAAACTAAGTAATTTGTGGTTCTGCACATTTCTCTATACTTTGAACAAATCTCAATCACGTAATTTTTACTTTTCTTATTTCTCACCTACTTCCACTTGACAAATAAACGAGCAGACCGGCAACCACCAGGATCCATGTAGGGGCGTAATTACTAATTAGGGGAGGCCCCGCCCGCCCATGGGAAATTTCAATTATTTGAGATCATGATGTAGATAATAAAATGTACCGGCCCTGTCAATTTACTTTCTCTGTATTCATCCAATGTAATAACTCCGCCATTTTCATGGTTTCTTAAGAGCTTTATCCTACTAGTACTTTTTGAAGCTCACATAAAAAGGTCACATACAAATGATGCGACGTCTTAAGAAGTGTCCTCTCCCCCGTACCTTTCCACCACGCTGCAATTCTTTTCCTACTTCGCAATTATTATGAATGAGTAATCAAAATTGCAGTCCTTGGTGGCGTGCTATGGTTGTTGATCTTTCATTCCCAATTCAAATCGATCACTGACTCGCCGGCTTTCACAATGGTTTCTCTTCAGGATTCTTTGTCACACGCCGGTTCCAGCGCAGATAGCTTCACCCAAACGCGCTCTTGTTGCTACCCCACTCCGCCGCCATCTTCGTCCAAACCCCACCGCTCCGTTGGCCGTTCCATGCGCACTATTAGGTCCAATCTCTACCAAAGCGGATGCGCCGCCGCTTCCGACCTATCCGGCAGCGTATCGGAGAACCTGACGGACTCCGTCGTCGACATGCGGCTCCGGGAGCTCGCTAATAAACCCGCCATATTAAAGCCCTCCTTTTCGGAAGTGGATTTTTTGGAGATTTCACACGCGTTCAGTGATTTCTCTGCTTGTAGTAGTGACATTTCCGGTGAGCTGCAGCGGCTAGCGACTGCGGATCCGGTTGAGAGCCCGAATCCGGACACCCAGCCCGAACCCGAACCCGAGCCATGTCTAGGGTTTCTGCAGAGGGAGACGTTTTCGACGGAAATAATCGACAACATATCGCCGGAGGATCTTCATCCGACTGTGAATCTCTGCATAGAGGGGTTGAAATCATCATCTGTAGCGGTTAAGCGGTCTGCGGCGGCGAAGTTGAGGCTCTTAGCCAAGAACCGAGCTGAAAATCGGGCTCTGATCGGAGAATCCGGTGCAATTCCTGCACTTGTTCCTCTTCTTCGGTGCTCTGATCCCTGGACTCAAGAGCACGCGGTTACCGGCCTTCTAAACCTCTCTCTTCATGAACCTAACAAAGCCGTCATCACGGATTCCGGTTCTATAAAATCACTGGTTTACGTGCTAAAAACAGGAACCGAGATCTCCAAACAGAACGCAGCTTGTGCTCTGTTGAGCCTGGCTTTGGTCGACGAAAACAAGCTGTCTATTGGTGCTTGTGGTGCTATTCCTCCATTGGTGGCCCTTCTGATCAACGGATCGAATCGCGGAAAAAAAGACTCATTAACCACACTTTACAAGCTCTGTTCAGTGAAACAGAACAAGGAGAGAGCTGTAACTGCAGGCGCAGTGAAGCCGTTGGTGGAGATGGTGGGAGTGAATGGTAATGGGCTTGCAGAGAAAGCTATGGCGGTGTTGACCAGCCTTGCCGCGATCGAAATCGGAAGAGATGCGATCGTGGAGGAAGGAGGGATGAACGCTCTAGTGGAAGTTATTGAGGACGGTTCTGATAAAGGGAAGGAATTCGCCGTGGTGACACTTCTGCAATTGTGTTTGGATAATGTTAGGAACAGGGTTTTGCTTGTTAGAGAAGGTGGAATTCCTCCTCTTGTGGCCTTGTCCCAGAATGGAACTGCTAAAGCTAAGCACAAGGTTAGCCTTGATTCTTCCCTTTTAGTTCGATCATTCATTGAATTCTTGATTAGTTGCTGATGTATGATTTACCATGCAAAAAGATGAGTCCTTTTTGCTGATTCTTGATTCGTGTCTATAAGTTGTAAAGACGATAGTGTTCACCGCCACAGGTGGACGGGCTTACCCTGCCTATCAATGATTGGCGACAGCAGAGTCACTGCAAGTGTGCGTTGTTCTCATTGTACACTTGTTATGTGAACTTGTGTTAATGTGAGATCTTAGAATTCTTGGCCTGTAGTTTGATAATTGCTCTTAAACAACTTAGACAATCACGGTTAAATACTAATATGATATCAAAATTTAGTGGTTTATTTAGAAGTTGAAATCTTACAGAGTATCTCTGAAGTATTCCGCAGTAACCCCCGGGAAAGAGTCCTGTTTAATCAATCGAAGTCAACTTTCATATAATTTGTCAAAACAAGTGAGAGACATACGTGTTATAATTGCAAAAGTAATAAGCAGGGTTTATAATATATAGAAGTTTTATTATACTTCGTAGTTGTTTTTATTTTTTTTAAAGAACTTGTTGGTAACAGAAATTTTAAAATTGTACCGTGATATCAAACAAGCCACTTTTAATGGGAGATGGTGTTATACTAAATCTTTAGAGCATCTTCTTAAATTATATTGTTGACGTTTGGTGCTTTAAAGCGCGTATCTTGAACTTTTATCCTTTAACTTTAACTTTTAAGAAGGTAGTCATATTCCTGGTATTGGCTGGTTAGGATAACCTAAAGAAATGATTTTGGAAAATATAAAAGCCCGTTTGGTGAGCATGTTTTTCGGCTTATCAGGCTTATCAGCCAACTTTTTCATCTAACACGTAACTTTTGATTTCACGCGCTGAAATGTATAATAATAAGAAAAAGTAATGCTGGAGTTACTCTTCTAGCTGTATTGACTAAATTTACTGTAGATAATCATTTTAACTATATTTTCATATAATTTTTTCTTTAAATTATTAATAAAATATATTTTAAATATAATTTTTACATAAATCAGCAGAATCAGCCAATCCAACCACTTCAGTCAGAACTTTATAAATTTCAGCAGAATCAATCGATGCAGCCGATTTTAGTATTACCAGGCTCTAAATCTGAAACATCCGCGAATCTATGCCCATCAATTGGTTGTATATGTGTTTTTGAAAGTGGGGAAATGAAATGCGTGATCTGATAATGATGTAGTTTGGTTTGTGCAACTTTTATCGAATACCAAATAAATGTTGTCTTCAGTGGTCCTTTCAGCGATTATGACTATCATATGCATGTTTTTTCCTTATGTTATTTTTCTTTGGATGCCTGCGATCTGTACATTTCTGGCCTGCATCGCTTTCATAATAAAACAAGTGGACTATTCGTCGGTATTGAAATGTTTGCTACAATAGACTTTGGCAAAATCAATAGAGTTTGGCAAAATGTTTATGTGAAAAGTAGTATGAGTAATGAATAGTGTAAAAAAGGTAGGAGAGAGGATGCAAAAGTATGAAAGAGAAATATAAATTAGATAATAAGGATAATTGAGTATTTTTAAAGGGAAAACTTACCAAAACAAAAAGTGCAGCACAAATTAAAAAATATCTCAAAAAAGAAAGTGTAGCATACATTCCAATAAGAAGGGAGTGTTATACTCTCCAATCTCAACTCATACCCTCTTTTGAGTCTTTTCTTATTGTCACGCAAATTTGAAAAGAAAACTTCTGGACCATCTGACTTGTTTAAAAAGAGTAAATTTGGTTTAAATGGTTGAATTTCTAAACGATTCACATTCCATTCACTATTCAAAGAGAACAATATGAGTATCTAAAAATAATGGCACTAGAAGTGTTATTTCTTTTTAATTGAGCCAAACAATAACCTAGGTTTTATTTCATTTCATCATCAAACAATTCAGTAAGCGGCAACATGAGTGATCAAACAACTTAATGCTTAGCCAATAATGTGGTAGAAATACTCGAATGAAATTGCTCCAAATAGTAGTAGTAAAACATGCACAGAGTGCACAAATAGGAGTGATTATGTTTTATTCTTAAAATAGGACTTACTTGATTTTATGATAAACATAAAAATCTCCTTATTGGCTATGAATATGTCCTGTTTTACGAAGAAAAGAATGGTGATTGTATTTGTGCACTTGTCTGTTTTACTCCTACACAAGAAATTATCTCAAATGCTTGTTCTTGATTTTAAATTTCAACTTTTTTGGGTTCTTTTGACAGTGTGAGACACTTCTTGGATACTTGAGAGAACCAAGACATGAAGTTTCTACATGAACTCCTTAGAGGCTTTAGAGAGGTCAGCTTAGACTGCAGTATATTGTATTTGGAAGTGGCGCATTATGTATAAGTGTTCTGGCTTGAGGTTTGTACAGAGTGGCTTAGAACTTCGATTATGGTAATAGTTAGGATGTACTCACCTTTAAGGTATATTGTTATCATTATGGTTGGATAGGTATTCTTAATTAGGATTTCATCTCCCTCTGCAACGAACATTTGCTTGTATTGGAGGAGGCTAATTTTCCTGGGGTGTTTTTTTTTCCTTAAAATATGGCTGTTCATCCTCTAGTTTTGCATAGGATGTCCTGATTCTATTAGACGCCTTACTAATCGATGCGCCCTTAGTATGATAAACACTGAATTACGCCGAGTTTTAAATGTATGGAATTCCAAATAATTTCTTATGAAGCCACGAGTTTTTAGATGTGAGCAAAATTTTTAGACCTGCTTTCTCCAACTAGGGAATATCTCTTCAGAATGGAACACGCTGACGTGATAAGTGGTTAAAATTCATTTATCTAAAATATTTGAAGAATCTCGACCATTTATCACGACAGTGTGCTCCTTAGTGAGTTGCATGGTGCTCTATATTTTTTCAATATTTCCTTGGTATGATGTTCATTCTATAATTGTTCTCTTGCACTACTCTAGCAGTTCGTGATTAAGGTTGTTTGGCAGGTGGGCAGTTATATCATTAATAGATGATGTTGGGTGAATTGGCTTTATTATTGCTCATTCTCATACTCTAATTCATTGATAGCGACTGAGTCTCAACTTGTTACTAAAAAAATTGAATGGGCCGGGCCGCCGGGGTACATGTGGGACGGAGAAGGGGGGCTTTCGTTTACCCCATACATGGGCCCAGAACCCTTAGTTTCGTTAGAGGAAATATTTTTTACATGCCTTTGCTAAGTTTGGATGTTTCTCCTTAGACTTAAATTTGCTAGTCTGGTTTGATCTGCTAAGTTTGATCTGTTCTGACCTGAACTTGTCTGATTTGGTCAGGTAATGTCTGAGGTCTAAGTGTATTTTATAACTAAAGAAGTCTAGTATGATTTGATCTATTTAAGTTCGGCCCGATCTGATTAGGTCTTGATAGATAGTGTACCCGGGGTAGCTTATCCGAGGGGTTATTACGAGGAACAACTAGAGAGAAGTCAGAGCAAGTAAGTAGAGAGAGAGAGAGTATATTAGAAAGTGTATTCAGCGTTTTCAGCGTGGTTACAAATGGGGAAATGAGGTGCTATTTATAGTAGCAATAAATGCCAGACAGGGACACGTGTCAAGCGTCCATTGACTGAGGGGTCACCTCAACTGGTTGGCGCTGGCAATCGCATGTGGCCGCATTTAATGCGGTTGTTGGATGTGACGTCGTACTTGGTACGGTGATCTATACGCATGTGGAGCGGATATTATGTCGGAAAAGGTGCCCTCGACTGTAGGTGATTAGCCGAGGACTCTGAGTACCGGGAACCTCCTTAGTGCCGAGGGCTACTGATTTTCGCCGTTTTCTCCCAGTAACTTTGTTTTCCTGTTTTGACCCCTAGCGCGCACTGTGGGCCGCTTGGTACTCTGGGCAATGTGATTTGGGCCTGTTGTGCTTCCTGGGCCTATTGGGCCTTTATTGGAGTAGTAGGAGTTTGTGGACCGGGGGTTCCCGGGCCATATACTCCATCAGGAGTCCCGCACTCCTTTGCCGAAAGGTACTTGAGGGAAAAGGAGTAATTGTGTTTGCCCTCTGCCGTTGTTCCGTTGTAGCTTGTAGAGTTGTGGGTAGTTTGCTGTTTGTTTATTCTGCCGAGGGCAGTCCCTCAGTTACCCACATGTCGGGACTTGAGGGGGCATGTTTGCTGTTTGCGGGAGTTTTTAGCATTTTGTACTTTTGTGATTTTTCCCGAGGGGGTTCTCCAGTCCCCCACTCCTTGAGGCACTTGCAAAGTGGTGAAAAGGAGTAGAGTAATCATGTTGCTGTATTGGGCCGAAGGCTGACGCTTTTCGTTTCATTTTGGGGGGATGCCTCGTTACAAACCTCATTAGGAAAAACCCTGTGGGAAAAAATCCTAATGAGGGAAAAAGAGTGCACTGAATTCCCCCAACGATGAATCGAAAATGTGAAGCCCTGGTTTGAAATGGAGTACAATGCTGATGCCGAAGGCTATCCTTGTTCTGGGGGCGTGTGTGTTGATTAGCCGGAGGCTTGCTGTTGATATCCTGGGAGGTGCCGAAGAGGAGTCCCTCAATCTGGGGATCGAGGGCGTGATGAATGTGAGTAGTAGTTGAAGTGTTACACGGGGGGGGGGGGGGGGGGGGGGGGGGGGGGGGGGCATTACATGTGTGCCGTAGGCTATCCGTTAATGAGGTGTACTCCCCGGGGGCTACCTGGTCCTCAAAGTATTGAGGGGGGAATCCCCGAGGGGTGTGCCCGTTATGAAGCCGTGGGCTTCTGAAGGAGTGAGCCCGAAGGCGTTTGTTATGTAGTATGAGGGTCATAAACCGGGAGCATGTCTGGGTAAGTGCACCCGGGGGCTCTTCTTGATGAAGTGGAGTGAAGTAAAAAGCCCGGGGGCTAGCTTCTTGGTTGGTGAAGGAGTGGTCTGCTGAACATAGTCGGGAGCTTCCAGAATATGACCGTTGTAAATATAGCCGTTGGAATACCTAACGTCAAAAATATAGCCGTTGGGGGGGGGGGGGGGGGCTTCCACGTGGTGCGTGCTCGTTGGCCGCCCGTGGGCGGGTGTCACCGATTGGGCAACTCGTCGGTTGGCAATGATGATTTTGTACCGGAGGCCCGGTTTTCAGGCCCAAGCCCGGATTAATGTGCCTATAAATACCCCATGGCCGAGCATCACTTCTCCTGTGCGATCATTTGTTAGCGAAGCTCTGCCGGATTTTTTCTAGAGAGAGAAACACTTGCCCTTGATCTAACTCCCGTTCCAAGGTCAGTTCCCCACTTGTCCTTCTCCCTTCTTAGGCTGTCTCAGTGGCCTTAGATTTAGGAGTTGTAACTTAGAACACTTAGTATTTCTGAGCCCTCGACCCAGTGGAAAGATGTCTTCTCAAAGTGATTCTCAGGACATATCGAGGGATCCCTCGATGGAAGAGGAGAGCTTTTCGGATGTGGGGTCCTTGAGCGAGCAACCCTCGGCCCAGGAGGATGTCGCGATGGCCATGGAGGTGCAGAAGGATCTCGTAGCTGAAGTCGAAGCCGAGGACTTCGAGCAAGCCAACACCGTTTTTTCCACGGGGGAGTATCGGAGTTCTGCTTCCCTGAGGGTCTTGCTAACATAGAAGATGGCATGTTGGATGCCATCCTCCTCCCGGATGAGCACTGAGCTGATGGCTGCCGGGCTAACGCCCAGGTAAAGGTATATGATCTCCCCCACCTTGGGTTTAGAGAGCACAAGGGGTGAAGATAAGTACCGCTTCAGTTCCTCGAAGGCCCCCTGACATTCTGAAGTCCATTGGAAACCGGCGGTTTTTCTCATGATCTGGAAGAAGGGTAAAGACTTCTCCGCCGATTTTGATAAGAAGCGATTGAGGGCTGCCAGGCGGCCCGTCAATCGTTGGACCTCCTTTATGTTGCGTGGGGGCTCCATGTTGATGATGGCCTGGATCTTCTCGTGGTTGGCCTCGATACCCCTTCGGCTCACCAGGTAGCCCAAGAATTTGCCCCCTTGAACGCCGAAGGTACACTTCTTCGGGTTTAGCCGAAGGTTGAATTTCTGCATGATGGTGAAGATCTCCCTCAGGTCGTCAGCATGGCTTGCTTACTGCTTGCTTTTGACGATCATGTCGTCAACATATGCCTCCATGGTACGCCCTAGGACAGCCTGGAATACCCTGACCACCATCCGAGTGTAGGTGGCGCCTGAGTTCTTCACGCCGAAGGCCATGACAAGGTAGCAGAAGATGCCCTCGGGAGTCATGAAGGCTGTTTTTCCACCGTCTTCCTCATGCATAAATATTTGATGATATCCACGGAATGCGTCGAGGAATGACATGATTTCACACCGCAGTTTCATCCACAAGTTGATCAATATTTGGCAAAGGAAAGGGGTCCATGAGACACGCCTTGTTGAGATCTGTGTAGTCCACGCACATGCGGAATGCGGGCGGTTTTTGTGCGAGGACCACGTTCGCTAACCATGAGGGGTACTTTACCTCCTTGATGTGCTTGATAGAGAGGAGCATGACGACCTCCTTCTTCACAAATTCCCTCCTCTCGGCCGAGAGGGGTCTCCTCCGCTGCTGTACTGGTTTGGCCGAAGGGTCCACCGAGAGGCGGTGGGTGATGACCCTTCGGCTGATCCCCGGCATGTCCTCCGGCCCCCATGCAAAAACAACGGAGTAGGCGCGGAGGGCGCTGATGATGCCGGTCTTCAGGTCTTCGGGGAGCTTGGCTCCAATCTTCACGACTCTCTCCGGCTTGGCCGGATCGAGCGCGAAGTCTTCTACCTCCTCGGCTGGTTCAGCCCCCGGCCTCCTTTCTTCCGCTTCCATAGTTCCGGTGATGGTGTCAATGCGGAACTCCGTCTTGCTAACATTTTTTGTTATTTGGAGGTAGCAAGCGCGGGCAAGTTTTTGGTTCCTCCTTGAGTAACCGATTCCCCCTTCGGCTGGGAACTTGAGGCAGAGGTGCCTCATGGAGATGACGACTTCGAGATCCTCGAGGGCTGGCCGGCCGAGGATGATGTTGTGGGCGCAGTCGATGTTGACGATGACGAACTCCACTTCGAGCTTGGCTCTATGGAGCCCGTCGCCGAAAAGTACCGGGAGGGTTATAACCCCCTCGGAATCAATGGTGTCACCGGTGAAGCCGACAAGGGGGTTCTTGATGGGTCGAAGGGGCCCCCTCTCCAGATGCAGCTCTCTGAAGGTGCTGAGGTACATTACATTGACGGAGCTGCTCGTGTCAATGTAAGTTCTGTGAATAATAGTGTCATTGATCTCTGTTCGGATGACGAGGGCATCCCTGTGTGGGGAGGACACCGGGGGGAGATCAGCGTTAGTGAAGGTGATGGGTTCCTCCCTCAGCCGCTTTACTGGGGGCATACGAGTGACTTCCCCCACGTAAAGTGACTGAGCCCACTTCTTTCATTGACTTGTAGAGTCACCCCCGGTATTTCCCCCGGTGATCATGAGGATGTGGCGCTTCTTTTCTTGGTACCGGGGGTACTCCTCCTCCTCTTCTTCCAGGTTCCCAATCTCCCTCTTTTTGCCGAGGGGGATGGTGTTGGGGTTGACCCATGCATTTGCTCTCACAGTCTGCCCTCGGGTTGGCCCTTGGGGAAAGGGGCCCTGTTGCTGAGGGCCCTGGATAAACTGGGACAGATGGCCCGCTTGTATCAACCTTTCGATGGCTGTCTTCAGCTGATGGCAGTCATCGGTCCTGTGCCCCTGGTGCCGGTGGAAACGACAGTAGGGGTAGTTTGGAT